TTTTCTTCACTATGGACCTCCTTTAAATACCTTTTGTGGCCACGGACCACCAAGACTTATCTCAAGGTTTAAATCATAACTTTCTTTAAACCTTCACGGACCCTGTGACAATACTGTGCCCCCCCCCCCGTGGTCTACAAACCACAGGTTGAGAACCACTGTATTACATTATAAAGTATTGTATCATATTGTGTTTTATTCGTATCATATTTTATCACATCGTATCGTATCATATCTCAGTAGGATGATGCATAGTGTTCGAATTTGAAGATCAAAAAGTGGTTTGGAAGAGACGTGGGCATGCATGCCAAAGTGATTAGCGCTGTATTTCTTCTTGGGTTTACAGTACCCAGTGATTGTGTGAACCAAAGAAAGGCTGAAAGGAACTCTGATTTAGGACTGTAGACATTGGTAAAATGTGTAGTCAGGAATTTGCGTTAGGATTTGTTTTCTGCTTCTGTCTTATACCAAGTATAAGCTATAGTATTGTGGGGATACTTTCAGTTATATTTCAGCCTGCATTCAAAGAATATAGTTTTTTCTTGTGATCTGTAATAATAATTTGGAACCTTTCCAGGCTCTTTCCAGAGATTTGCAGTGGAAGGCTCTTCAACTATAGCAATGGCCTATCTGGAACACTGCATTTACTTTTGAATCTTTTTTCTTCACAACCTGTAAGCTGCTATAGCAGTGATACCTAACCTTTTTGTTGTTGGGTGGGTGCCAAAAATGCAAGTGCACATTCACAATAGCGCACGTGCATGCCGACACCCATAAGGCAAAGTGCCCCCCCATGTGCATGCGCACACAACCCTCACCCCCCCCCCCACGTGCTGCACTGCTTGCCTTTAAGCTGAGCTTGGTATTTCCCCCGGGGCGGGGGGGGGGGAGAGAAGACATTTAACTTTTTGCCCTCCCCAGACTCCAGGAAAGCCTCAGGAGCCTGGGGAGGGCAAAAAACGGGCATACCGGAAGTTTGGAAATGATCCATTCCTGGCTTCTGGAGGATCTCCAGTGGGCTGGGGGAGGCTGTTTCTGCCCTCCCCAGGCTCCAGGAAAGCTTCCGGAGCCTGGGGAGGGTGAAAAACGGGCCCAATGGGCCTACTGAAACTTCTGGTAGGCCCGTTGGGCCCATTTTGCACCCTCCCCAAGCTCCAGAGGCTTTCCTGAAGTCTCGGGAGGGCGAAAACGGCTTACCCTGGCCCTCCAAAAGGCTGAAAATCAGCTGGCTGGCACACACATGCGCATTGGAGCTGACGACCCACATGCCAGCAGATATGGCTCCACAGGCCACCTGTGGCACGCGTGCCATAGGTTCGCCACCATGGTGCTATGCTATGTCTTTGGGGGCAACTTTTCATAATTATGTTTTTTGTAATGAATGTATACATATTAAAATTAAAAAAAATTACATGTTATTATTTTTCGAATGTTTTCCTTTGTTTATCTCCTGTAAGATTGGTTTTTCAAGGGGGGGGGGGAGAATTGGGGGCTGAATTCTTTACTTCCCACACTTACATACTACATAGCCAAGAAGTGGAACTATAGAAATTATTTCAATTTTTGCCTTTTGATTTTTAAAAGACACAGAATATGGCATTTCTGTCTCTTACACATACCGGAGTTAGGGGATAGATGACAGATGAAGTGCTTTAGAAACAACCAAGCTGCTACCTAAAGTAGGAAGTAGATCCAAGAATATGAAGTCCGAAAGATTGGAGGTACCAAACTATATTTTGGTACCTCCAATCTTTCATCTTATGGTTGCAGTCGCTACAGTTATATCTTATCATACAATACAATGAAAGAACCAGAGGATGTAATGGGCAAAAATTTTGTTTTCTAATCAAACCAGTGAACGTGCATCAAAAGATGATCTTAGGCTGCGCTAATAATTAACCTTTTTATCGCACTTGAAAATAAAAGCAAAACTATATATTTAGCCAGAGAAAAAAAATGAAATAGGGATAGTTGTTTTGCATGCTTCTGAACTATATGGTTGGTTTGCACCGAATAATTAGGGTCACTTTCCCCCTAGCTAGAGAGAAAAGCTGGTGTTCTTATCATTTCCTCACTAGATGGTAATGGCACATTCAGCATTAATGTAGCAAACAAAAATATGAAACACATGGATTATTATAATGAGATTGAATAAATTAAGGTAACGTCTGTCTGTCCACTGTAGGTTTGAATAACTGTAGAGAAAGCTGATTAAACCAAACTTCCTCAAGCCTGGTAATCTACAGATGAATTGGGACATTTGCATTGGAATTTGGGGAGCTGTAATATTTTGTACATTTGGATGGTGCCAGAATGGGGAAAGCAGGATTATTCAAACAAGAGTTGCCAATCCCAATAATTCTACTCACCCTTTCAAGATCCTGTCTAAGGTGTGTGAAGAGCTTCAAGCGTCGGTACAATACATCCTGCTCTTGCTGAGCCAAATTATCCACTTCATCTGTCTTGGGCATCAGTAGTGGCTTGTTATAATTGGCTTTTCTCTTCATCTTCCAGTACTGATAGACAAAATCAACTAGCCACTCAGTCAAATCAAGGTTCTCAGCCACTTCAGAAGGTTTCACAAGATCATAGAAGTCCTCTTCCAACTGTTGGAGCTTCTGTTTTCTCAGTGTTATCTTTTCCAGGTCTAGTTTACCTTGATCTGCCTCCATCCGTGCGTCATCTGGTGGCTTGGTGGCACCAGTGCTATGCTCAAGACAGAATGACTTGAACTTTACCTCATCGTTTTCTGCTAACAGTGTCCGCATGTCCAAATTGTGCTCAAAGGCACATGTTACATGGAAGGCTGTGATGCAGGAAGGCATGGAACACTAGAATGGGAAAGGAAAGAGAACAAATGCTTGAATAGCCGCTTGGAACATTGCACATAAAATATTGTCAACTGGTAACATTTTTGCAAGATCTCAATATAAGCCTGAGAGGAATTACCAACAAAAACATGAGGAGGCAGAAAAGAATGGAAAGTACTGTATTCTCATTAGCTTTCACATTGGCATTTTCTTGAGGTGATGAAGAAATACCCCACATGCATTTGCACCAACCGTTTAAGCATTGAGAAATATCTTGTTTATATGCTGCCTTGCTGCTCTCATTATTTTTATATCACATAACTATTTCTCATGGGATCTATTTGATTTGCTGAGACATAATTAAATTATTCAATATAGACAAACCTCTGTCTTGTTTTAACCGATCCACTGTATGTACTTCAGTATGATCAGATTAAGTGTTCATTGTTTGATAGCCTTCTGTGATAACATAACATATGAAATATAATGAAAGATTCATTCAAAAGGAGGAGGATAACCATGCCCTGTGGGGCAAGATGGAACAAATACACTGATACACTGCTCCAGCTTTTAAAATGTGCACTATGCTGCTAAGGAGAGGCATACTTATTCCCCACTAAGAAGCCAATTATAGAGCCTAATACACACATGCACACAGACAATCTATAATTCATTTTCTATGGTATATCATAAAGGTAAAAAATACATACAAGGAAATACAGCCTTCCAAAGTTTGACCAATAATGATAAAGCAATTTTATTTCCTTCCTCACCAGCACCTAGCTCTCAGTATAGCAGTTTTTCAGAGGCTATTTGTTACAGTTTGATTAATTTCATTTATAGAACTTCAACTAATTAGCCCATATACTGGACAAGATGTCAGTCGGGGCACAGTACATGTTAAGGCTGGGTGAAAACACGGTCAACTTTATTGGGATCATAACATAGCAAAAGCAAGAGGTTCTACCTGGATGCCTCCCATTAAAGAATCAAGGGGGAAACTTGGATTGGCTTCTCTGTGCAGTCTTTCCATGCTTTGTGCAGCTACATGGAAGGGACTGATACATCAAAGGCTCAGGCCTAAAATCTCTCTCTCTCTCCCCTCCTTCCCTCTCTCCATCGATTTATCTGGAACAGCATGATTTAGCCCCATGATGGCAAACCTATGGCACACATGCCACAGTTGGTACACAGTGCTCTCTGTGGGCACGCGAGCCGTCACCCCAGTTCAGGTCAGCCGCATATGTGCATGTGCATCCCGCTGGCCAGCTGATGTGGTATTAATGGCAGATGGCTCCATGGTCACGCCAATGTACTTGGCAGTTGGGAAGATGGGCCTTCTGTCATATAGGTAGTCCTCAACATATGACTGCAATGCAGCTGGCAGTAAAGCTGCTCGGCCACATAACTGACCAATTTTGTGAATCTTTTTTGTGCCGGACATTAAGTGAATCCACAGTCATTAAGTAAAGCAACTATTTGCTATGGGTAGCGCCGTGATGGCGAACCTATGGCACATATGCCACAAGTGGCATGCAGAGCCATATCTGCCAGCATGTGTACCGTCAGCTCCAGTGCGCATGCCGGCCAGCTGATTTTCGGCCTTCTGGAGGGCTGGAGGAAGCTGTTTTCGCTCTCCCTAGGCTTTAGGAAAGCCTCCGGAACCCGGGGAAGGTGAAAAATGGGATCAAGGGGCCAACCGGAAGTTCGGAAATGATTCATTTACAGATTCTGGAGGGTCAGAGGAGGCTGTTTTTCACCCTCCTCAGGCTCTGGAGGCTTTCCTGAAGCCTGGGGAGGGTGAAAACTCCCCCCAAACACGGGGAGGGTAGTGTGTGCATGTGCAGGGGGGGCGTCATGCATGCATTCGGAGGGGGGGGCTTCGCACATGCACGGGGTCACGTGCACATAGGTGCAGGTGGGCTGGGTGCATTGCATTGTGGGTGTGGGGCATGCATGTGGGCGCTATCGCGTGTGCGCACAATTTTGGCACACATTTACAAAAAGGTTCGCCATCATTGGTGTGGGATTTTGTCAAAAACTGAAAGTGCTGGATTTTGGCAAAACTATTGTAAAACACAGTCACGTAACTGCGAAACACTGCTGATGTCCATAACTACAGCCATGTTGTCAAACACTCAAAATCAGGTCATGTGACCGCAGAAGGGGAACTTCAAAACTGATTATAACTTTGAACAGTCACTAAGCACCTAGTTGTACGTCAACACCTACCAATCATTATTTGCTACTATTCCTTTTAATCTTTAAACTACAGTTTCTTGATTATTGCTTTGCAGGGTATAAATTTATGAAAAAAAATATGAATATTTTCCCCCAGAAACTTAATATACCTAACTTTTCCCTGTTTCTTCCCTTTGAGATGAGAGATACACACACAACATGCGTACATGTCCTTAATTAACATTAATTTAAAAATGGGAAAAGTGACTTCAATTTCTTCTGGGCCACTATCTTTTAAAATAAATGGATTAAGGCTTACTGCATTGAGAAAAGAGAATTTAAAAAGTCAATATATTTTTGAAACTTAAAGTGGTTTTGTGAAAGTCTTCTGCTAGATTCCCCTTTCCAGGTGACAAAACCTAAGGCACCATTTCCTCTGAACAGAACAGGTATATTATATACTGTAATACCTCTGCCTCTTCCAAACCTCCTTCTCTTCATCAACTGGTTTTTAATGGCTCAGAGTGTCACGTAATTATTCAAGCCGTAACCCATATGAAATCAGTCTATTCTAGCTGTTAATGCCAGTTAAACTGCAGTAAGCAGCTATTTTGAAGGGTTTATTACTGTAGGCAGCACCCTGAATGGCTTACATAACCAGGATCTTATAATTACCAAAATGCTAGCTCTGGCTTTGAGTGATTACATTATCACCCAGGATATTGAGAAGTTAAGTATGAGAGCTGATATTTCAGGGAAAAGGAAGAGTAATTATATGGAAAGTTTTATATATCCGTTCTTGTGGTTTCATTTTTGCTTCAATGATCCTCCAAAGCATTTTTCTGCTTTGCTGAACTCCAAAAATCACCCCAGGAGAATATGAGGCTGGTATGAAGAGTGTTATTTCCCATATTTTTCCTTCATAACTTTTTCTATACAAGTAGTCCATTGCCTTTGCTTTATGTACTTGGAATCTGACACAATTAAACAAGCCCCGAGTTAACTGTTAAATATTAAAGATTTCAAATTGCCTTTTAAAGCCAAGGTATGAGGAATCCACAGCATGGGAAGGAAGCTCAGGTAAAGATAAAAACAGTGATTTAAAAAAAAAATTTTTTAAAAAGATTCATAAAGCAAAGTTGGTTGGTTATGATGTGGTTCATTGTAGGAATTCCTATGTGACTCAGAGAATCAAAAATATGTTGAAAAGATGCAATGCCACTTTCCCCCCTTGTTCTTACTGCATTTTGAGGTTGCAGGAAGTTGCCAACTATAAACAGCTCCGATTGCGTTTTCTTATCCAGTAGCCAAAGCCGTAATTTTATTGCATAGCTGCCAAGGGAGGCAATTGTGTTTATATTGGAATATCCAGGGGTACTTTAAATTGGAAAGATCCTTTGTGCTGCTATGTGGACAAGAAACAGGCAAAGTAGTGAGATGAAAGCTGTGCAAGAAAATATTTTGTCTCTACTACAGTTTTCAAGTTACAGCAATAAATGACTCAATCAGTCCCATCCCCCTACTTGCCTTCGCTATTTGCGTCACAAACAGTATTAATATCATTCTTAAATTGTTTATGGCTTTTGCTGGAACAACAGCCTACACAATGCCCTTTTACATAGGAAAGATGATCCATGCTACCTTAGAGATAAAGTAAATAGAATGCCACCCATCCAGGGTTTCGTTTGACAGATGGCAAGTGGTTCTTATCAGAGACTCTGCCCAAAACACACACAGGAAATAATTAGTAAGCCAGGCTAATGGGTCAAAAACAAAGAAATACCTGTTCAACCTTTGGTATCAAAGAATGCTATTAAAGGGAGAGTGAAGACATTATTGATGCATTCTTTTTTGACCCACAACCCAGACTAGCAGAATGAAACTGTACAGCCGGGCAAGGGAGAAAATCCTGAAAGAGAAAACGAACTAAGTTACATGATAATGTGCGCACACACTAACAGGAATAAGATAAACCACAGGGTTAGCTAAGCCTGTGTTAAAACATTCATATTTGAATGTTCTAGTCAAAGAGGACAGCAATGATTGGCTGATAAACCTATATATGTTTATTCATATATGCAGTTCAGGATAACAAACCCTATAGAACTGAAGCTTTTTTGGCTAATCTTATGCTTACAGTATTTTGTTTTCTTAGTTTCAACAGTTTCATGTAATATGCTTAATCAATAGTTAAATAGCAACCAATGCAGAGCCTTCAGTATCAATGTTTTCTATCTGTGCGCATGTGTATATAAAAATATTCTACTGAAAGATTCCATAACCAACCTAGTTGGAAGTCTATGAACCACTTACAAGGAAATTCTAGACAAGACTGCTGTACAATCACCCAATGTACAAATAACAGAAACAGAATTTAACTGTTTTGGTAGGATGGCCAGAAACTACTAGGGAAAGGCAGTCCCTAAGATACTCATGTCCTAAGCCACATAGGTCTTTAACCAGCACTTAGGAATCTATTGGTAACCAATACAATTGCAACAGCTGTGATGTATCATTGAGACTGTCCACTGAGCATGCCTGCTGCCGATTTCTGGAGTACTTGAAGATTCCAGATGGTCTTAAGGGCAGCCCCAGTGTACAATGTGTTACAGTAATTTAGTGATGATAAGGACATCAGTGGCCACTTTTCACTACATTCTGTTCCTAATTTTGTTGAACATAAGGCCACGACTGGTTCTTCAGGAGTGTAGCTGTGCAACACTCTTCCTGGTGATGATTTCCACTTGCTCTTTGAGCATGAGCCAAGGAGGACATCCTGCTCATTCTGGGGAAACACAACCCCATCAAGAATTAGGATTGATATAATCAGAGAATCAGAC